ATCCAGGTAAAGAGAGGCACTCCAGCCAGCAGAGCCCAGTGGAAGCATCTAGCCATGATCTTCAGTGTCCACCCTGAGGCTCCTTGGGAGATGGGCCTCGAGGCACCTGTCTCACTCCATCTTCCGTTGCAGGAAAGGGAAAACCATGGGCTGGGTCATTTAGAAAGGAACTCGGTTTATTCTGCTGGCAGTGCTGGAGGCAGGGAGGGACAAAGTCAGGGGGCTTTGGCAAGGTCTTTCTTGCCCATGGAGATTTTGAGGGGTCTCGAGGTGGCACAGGGCATTGAATTATAAGGCAGAGCAAGTGTCCCACAGGGAGTTTTGTGACACAGCCATTTCCTGGATAACTCGTTAATCTGCTAACCCGTGCATAGGTTAATCCATTCTCATTCCCCCTTATAGGTCCTACCTGGGCCTGTACCATGGGGATTACATTTCAGCCTGAATTTGGGTCAGGCCATTTAAACAGCATCTACAAACCTCATGAACTTTCATGCGACGCTCTGCCCCCTTATTCATGTTCAGGGGGAATGATCTATGGCTTTCAGCAAATTATCAGAGAGGCCCTTGACTCAAAAGAAGTTTGAAATCCACTGGTCTAATGATGGGCTGTTGATGTCCCATAGAAAATCAACTAAAGATCTCTCTCTCTCTCCTTCTCTCTCTCTCTCTCTCTCACCAACTCTCCCTCTAGGCTCTCTGTCCCTCTGCTTTTCAAATACATAAATAAGTAAATCAATCAATCACTCTAGAGAATAACAGGGGCACAAGACACAGACGTGGGAATCTTTCAGAGGCTTCTGCACTCACGTTCCAGGAAATTCTCTGTGGCTATGGGTGATGCTTCTTCTCTCAAATTCCTCAGCCCCACAATAAAACCTCATGCATCTCACAACTCCCACGGTGAGGTGCATGGACAAAGATGGACCAAGGCTACCCCAGGAATGACCGAGGGCTCCAGGGGAACAAGCGTAGAGCAAAGACCACATTGTGGGGGCCATGGTGGTCTCATGCCATCGTAGACATGTGTATGAGTCCTCGTCACTCTGAGGAGGGACTTACTATAGACATTATGAAGTCAAGAGATTACACAAAGGATCGAGATTTATTGATTTATTCCTCTTAAGTCTAAGGACCCACTGGCCCTGTGTCTCCGCAGCCCACCATACAGGGCCAGTAGCAGGTGCCTCCATGATGGGACATGCATTTTTAGTCTTCTGACACAGGACAGAAGCAGGACTCACAACCAAGTCCCTTCCTACCCAACCACCAATCTACCTGCTGACCTGAACACGTATCCATCTCCAATTCAGCTCCCACCCAGCTAGGAGCAAAGGAGCATACTGACCCTAACTAACCCGTGCCTAAAAGAGCCCAGTATGACCCCCGTATGACCTTCCTGGGGTAGCGGAGGTGAACACCACCACCATTTTGAGTGTGTCGTGTGTGCAGAAGAAGTAACTGCACCTGCACATAACATGGAGCTCGGTGCAAACAGATGTGTCGTGTGCCAGCGGCAACCCAATAAAAACTCCCGTTGAGCTCCCAATGTAGAGCCAGTGGTGGAACCTCTCTCCACTGTGCTGCCCTTCTGGCTGGCATAATTAAAAGTTCTCAGTGAACCTTTCTGGGTTCATGCTGACTGCTTGTTCACTTTTTTTTTTTAAAGACTTATTTATTTGAAAGGCAGAGTGATAGAGGAAGAGAGAGAAAGAGACAGAGAGACAGCGACAGGGCTCTTTTATGAACTGGTTTCCTATCCATATGGCCGTAATGGTCAGGTCTGGGCTAGGCTGAAGCTAGAGAAGCCAGGAGCCAGGAACTCCACCTGGATCTCCTCCATGAGTGGCAGGGGCCCAAGTTCTTGGGCCATCCTCTGCTGCCAGTATGTTAGCAGGGAGCTGGATCAGAAGTGGGGCAGCTAGGACCCAAGCTGGTACTCTGATATGGGATGCCAGCCTCCTAAGCACAGTGCGCCACAAAGCCAGTCTCTGCTGGTAGATTTTGGTTACAAATGAGTCCTGAACTTCGAGGCAGTATCACTCCCATCCCCCACCCTTACACTTGACCCTTGCTCTCCTGAATGGCACCTGCGCACTTTGTATACCCGAGACTCCGCAGTAAACAGAGAAGAGCAGAGGACAAACAGAAAACCTTGGAAAACAGCTGTTTTCCAGGCAGGAGGAAAAAACTCTTCTAAGAATAAACAGGGGAAGAACTCAAACAGAAATGTTATAAATTCCTTTCATGTAAAAATCTCCTTTTATGGCCGGCGCCACGTCTCACTAGGCTAATCCTCCGCCTTGCGGCATCGGCACACCGGGTTCTAGTCCCAGTTGGGGTGCCGGATTCTGTCCCGGTTGCCCCTCTTCCAGGCCAGCTCTCTGCTGTGGCCAGGGAGTGCAGTGGAGGATGGCCCAGGTGCTTGGGCCCTGCACCCCATGGAAGACCAGGAAAAGCACCTGGCTCCTGGCTCCTGCCATCGGATCAGCGCGGTGCACCGGCCGCAGCGCGCCGGCCGCAGCGGCCATTGGAGGGTGAACCGACGGCAAAGGAAGACCTTTCTCTCTGTCTCTCTCTCTCACTGTCCACTCTGCCTGTCAAAAAAAAAAAAAAATCTCCTTTTATTATCTTGCCTACCACTGGGCAATCTCTCCTAACCTAATGCTATTTGGGTTATGAGAAGTTCTCCACGTCCCCACTTTTACCAAAGCAAAATCATACTTATTAAAAATTTGGAATCATGCTAAGAAGGAGCAAACCTCACATCCTAATGGTAAAGAAATCCTATTGTGTCTGCTTTGTAATAGCCAAAGGATCATACAATGTCTTCCCTACAATTAAATATCCCCATCCACTATTAACAAATGAAGCATTTTACAAGTGAAGATACATTAAAAGGAGACCATTCGTGCTTGATTCTATTTTGTACAACAGAGATGCATGTAATATTAATGACTCATGATCACGTTAGTTTCTGGGTTCCTTTGAAAGTGCATTATTAATCATCGATTCATGTTACCGTAACTCGGGAAATAGAAACGAGCTCTTTGCTTAGTGCCTTTATAGATGTCGGCTGGGCATCCCCAAGCACTTGGACCTCTCTGTTGCTACTATTTAGGGTCACATCCTCCTTCTGTTACCTGTCACGGCTGGGTAGCCAGCATCCCCTGTGTCAGGTTGGCCAAAATATCAAACTCCCCATCTGTCAGTCCATCAGTTGAATTTCATCCCTTGAAGATCAGCAGGCCAGAGGGTCTTCAGGCACTGGTTGTTAAAGTCTCAGTATTCCTGAAGGTCACACTCCAGGTCTCAGCCGACACCTTGGCAATGACATTGGTATCTGCAGAATGCCAGGAGGACAGCCCTGCGGCCTTGCGGGGCAGCTGTGGTGGGCACTGAGCCACGAGCTGGTTTTGGCTCAGGGAGTTACAGGGCTATAAATGACCTTCCCTGGGGCACAAATCTGTCCACGGGTGACTCTGCTCTAAGGCGATTTTTCAGCTTGAGTGGGAAAGAACAGGACGTCTCAAAATCCTACTCCTGTTTATCACGGATTTGTCAAGGGAGAAAGAACTTCACGATCCCAAGGAAGGAGCTCTCACTCCTAGTCCAGGATGCCTTCTCGTTATCCCCCTTAACACCAACAAGCACGCCCCTCTGAAACCTGGCCACGGCCACAGGCCTCTGTCACCTCCTGTGACTGGACAGAACCCAAGTTCCAAAACTTCAGGGTCATGTTGAGCCCAAGTTGAACTTGCAAGAAATAGCGTAAAGGTCACCTTGGTTGAAAACCACGGCATTCCCAGGGGGCTCAGCCATCCCGCCAGCCCCAAACAGCCACACCCTCGTCTCTGCACCTGCTCGTGTTGTGGGACACGAGAATGCTACAGACAAGATGAAGCGTCAGATCTTGGGTGGGGAGGTTGTCCGGGATTGTGCATCTGGACCCCAGATGTAACAGCAAGAGTCAAAGAGGGAGACAAGAAAGCAAAGGAGGGAAAAAAGCCAGGCGGCCGAGGCAGCGGGAGCTGAAGGGAGAAGAAGTGAGGTGGCTGTGGCCTCTGGAGCTCTCTGAAGGACCCAGCCCTCCCAATGTTTGGACTTTTGCTCCATACGGGTCGTCCCCAGGACTGCAGGAGAATAAATCAATGCTGCTTTAAGTCAGCGCGTTTGTGGTGAGTTGACCCAGCAACAAGAAGAAACCAAGAGGGCATCGAAATCAACCTTCATTCGAGAGCCTTTCTACTTGACATTCGCGATGGGTAAGCCAGGAGATTTGGATCCCCTTGTCCTTGAAGGCAGACGGACAGCATCTGGGACCAGAGGCAGACGGAGAATTCCAAAGGCCCCTCAGTGACCCAGAACACCCCACAACCATCACCCTTTTCTATGTGATATGGTACGATGTAAAAAGACAGGAAATGCTGCAATTATACATGTTTCCAAAGATAAAAGGCAGCCCCCGATCCCACTGCTTCTCCATAGAGGGTACATTCCAAGGCTCCCAGTGGGTGGATACCTCAAACCTTGGCTTGCACTAGTTTTCACCCTCGCACACACTGTGCCTATGACACTGTGCATGTCAGGACCCGTGAGAGAAGAAGAACCAACAGTAACGATCTATTGCAATACGAGCTATTGAAAAACACGAGCTGTTCATTTCTGGAGTCTTCCGACCACGGTTGAGCACACGCAACTGAAACCGTAAAAAGCAAAACCGCAGAGCAGGCCATCCCCCAGGGCATGCGACATTGTCCAGCTTTAAAGAGTTCACCGCACAGGGGGAATGCACTTGGGAGCTGCCCTTGGACTCTGCGCGTGATGGACCAAAAATGCCACGTCCTCTCTCAGCAAGACACCTACGCTCCTAAGATAACCCGCAGCTCCTAAGCAGCCGTTTGCACCCTGCGGCTGAAGCCCATGGCTGCATCAGCCTCTCCCCCAGTGCCCTCGGGTCCGGGGACTCGCGGGTCCCCAAAGCTGGCCCTGCTACAGACCTGATGGGGAGGGAAGGGTCTCCGGCGTCCCACCAGTCCTTCGGGGGGCTGATGTACATACACCACAGCTCCCAGCTGTACCCGTGCGCCGAGTTCTCATAGCGCTGCACTTCAAAGTCGTCCTGCTTGATGTTGTCGATGGACGGCAGGATCACACGCTTCCGGTTTTCCTGGATGCGAGACAGAACGGGCTCCGCCCTGAAACACAGAGAAACCGCCATGAAGCCGCTCTCTCCGAGCGGAACGAGCCAGTCTGCTAGGAGGCTGGGCTTTGGGCGGGCTGAAACTCCGAGGGAAACTGAGGCTCCCCAAAGCCTGGGGGTGCGGCCATGGTGAATGAAGCCGCTGCCGACGTGGGCTGGGAAGTGTGTGAAAAACACAGGGCACACCTTCGCCCATGCTGGAACCACCAACAGGATGCCTGATTTGGCCCGAGAAGCCTGGAGTGAGGATTCAGGGCAAGGAGTCCCCTACACTATGGAAGTGCCACGCCACGTTGTGGCGCAGGGAGTTAAGCTGCTCCTTGCGACACCCCCATGGCCCTCGCTGTTCCACTTCCCATCCAGCTCCCTGCTAACGCGCCTGGGCCCCTGCCACTTACGTGGGAGACCCAGATGGTGTTCCTGGCCCCTGGCCTAACCTGGTCCAGCCCCAGCCATTGCAGCTCTTTGGAAGAGTGAATCAGCAGATGGAAGATTCTCTCTCTCTCTCTCTCTTGTTCTATCTCGATCTCTCTCCCTCTCTCTCTAACGCTCTCTCTCCCTCTCTCTGCAACTCTGCTTTTCAAATAAAATAAATAAATATGTTTTAAAAAAGCAAGTGCCAAGCGCCTCTTTTTACTATTTTAAAGATTTATTTATTTATTTGAAACAAGGTTACACAGAGAGAGAGAGAGAGAGAGGAGAGAGAGAGAGAGATCTTCTATCCACTAGTTCACTCCCCAAATGGCCGCAATGGCCAGAGCTGCGCCGATCCGAAGCCAGGAGCCAGGAGTTTCTTCTGGGTCTCCTAAGCGGGTACAGGGGCCCAAGGACTTGGGCCATCTTCTACTGCTTTCCCAGGCCACAGCAGAGAGCTGGATTGGAAGTGGAGCAGCCGGGTCTTGAATTGGCACCCTTATGGGATGCCGGCACTGCAGGCGGCGGCTTTACCCGATACCAGCCCCAACCAAACACCTATTTCATACCCACAGTATCCTGGCTTCATGATTTGCATTGTTCTAGGGCTTTACCCAAGCCTCATCAGCTTCCCCTCAGGGTGTTCGCTGCCATCTCTTATTTTTTTTTCTGCTGGTATTCAATTCTCTTTCCCAAAATAGGTCACCTCTGCCCTGGCCGGCCTGGTTTTAATAAGCCCTTCACCGGTTTCTTTGTGTGTGACTATTTCAGTAGTTTTAATTGATTATTTAATTGATTTGTTAAAAGGGATCTCATTGAATTGGTTCACAATGCAAAGCTGGGAACTAATTAAATGCAAAGGCAGGCGGAATCTTGCCTCCCAGCTCAGCTCCCGCACCTCAGCTCTGCAGCAGGCGTCAGCCGGGGGCTCTGGCTTCAGGTTCAAGGTGTAGCCCGCTGGCTATGGACAAAGCAGATGGTCAGAGAGCTCCGCCAATGCGTCCCTCTGAGGCAGGCGTAGGAAGGGATCATTTCCCATTCTGGAGAAGGAAGAGGTGGCCCTTGGAAGCCAGCGCATTAATCTCCCAGTTTAGACCAGAGTGCACGCACGCCTTGGAAAAGAGTCAAGTGAAAAATTCCATTCCTAGGCATTATTTGGAAGAATAATGAGAACCTGCGGCCTACAACCCATCTCTTTTCATTTGCAGCTATTGAATTACCTGTTGGCACGGCTCATCTTTCTATTTAAAACGAGCAATAAAATACACCCCGGGCCATTGACCCTCCAATACTTTTGCGCACACCGTACAGGCTGCGGCCAAATGGGACCGACTCGCTGAGGCTGCACGACCCGCTTCCAAGCCTTGCCCCTTCCAAGGCCTCACTGATGCTGTACTGCCCTGGGAATGCCATTTGCACCGCAGAAAGTCTGACCTCTAAGAAGTCTTAGACCAAATGCTGCCTCTCCTGAGAAGCCTTCCTAATTTACCCCAGTAGGACGGTTTTTTTTGCTTCCTTTCAACTTTTTTTAAAAAATTATTATTATTTTATTTTATTTGGAAGGTAAAGAGACAAGAAGAGATCTTCTTGTTCACCCTCCAAAAGCCCGCAATAGCAAGGGCTGGGACAAGTTGAATGCTAGAGCCAGGAGCTCCATCCGGTTTTCCATGTGGGTAGCAGGGACCCAAGTACTTGAGCCATGATGTACTGCCTCCCAGGGTGCACTGTGGCAGGAAGCTAGATTGGAAGCAGAGGTGGGACTCGAACCAGGCACTCTGATATAAGACGCAGGCCTCCCACACATACCTACCGCACAACAATGCTCACCCCTTCCTCTCAACGCCTAGGCTACTTCCTCCACCTTACGCAGGGCACACTGACAGCTAAGGCTGCCTGTGCCGATCACGGCACACACTCTTTCTCCTTATGAGCCGGGGATAGCTGGTATTTATTGAGCACTTACTGAATGCCAGGCGTGATTCTAAACATTTCATAGGCATTGTCCCAGCACCAATCTGATGGGGTGGAGTTTCTGATTTTACACAGGAGGAAAACAAGGTCGAAGGACATTCAAGCCGCTTCCCCTAGGCCATGAGGTCAGCAGGTGGAAGAACCTGGTTTATAACCTAGATATTCTGGTATCAAAACATCTTGTTGAGTGGGCCCAGGATGGTCTGGGGCTGTGCACATAGAAGCACTCCATTGCAGCCCACTGCTGTGTGGTGAAGGCAGTCTGAGCATGGGGGCAGAAGATGGTAGCTCAACTAATGCTACACAGCTGAAGACCTGGATTCTCGTGTCTTGGAGAGAAGGTACAACTCCTCCCCATCACTTGCTCCCCTTCCTGGGGACGTCCTGCCTGTTGCCATGTGTCCAGCAATGCCTCCCTACAGAAGTCCACTCCCTTCCCCAACCTCCAATGAACACTGGGCTTGGACTGCTGAACTGCTTTGCCAACAGATGTAAGCAGAAGCTTCAGGAGTCTCTGGAAGGTTTGGCAGGTGTTCTCTGCCCTGAGCCGGAATGTTCTGGGCAGGTGTATTCCTTGGATGCCAGAACACAGAGGACGGGCAAACATGGGAAGTCACAGACAGACACCAAGAGCTCACATGGGTCGCTGAGATCAGAGATGATCACTACGCTCAGTGTGCCCAGGACTGTTCCAGCATTACCACTGCCAAGTCCAGAGAAACCTCTCAGTACCAGGCAAACATGGACAGTTGGATCCCCAAAACCCCAGCTTAGAACAGTGTCAGGGTCATGGCACGCATTCAGCAAATATCATCCAAAGAGTGAATTCAGGCAGCCAATGTGTTCAGGAGCGGGGAACCTTTTATCTGCCAAGGGCCATTTGGAGGTTTAGGACATCATTTGTAGGCAGTGGTGACGATCAACCTAAAAATTAGACTGCTATAGATGCATTGAATTTTGAGTCCCATCTGCAGTTACCTTAAGGCCAAATGATTTAGTGGCTGGACGTTCCCTACCCTTGGCTGGTGATTGATAATGGAGGACTGGGCTGGGACACAGGTTGTGAAGACAGAGAAGGAGACAGGGACGTGAGAAACGGTGATGGTAGAACCAGGGAGCCGTCATTTGGCTTAGCAGTTAAGATGCCTTTGTCCCATACGGGAGTGCCCGGGGTTTGATTTCTGGCTCTGGGGCTCTTGACTCCAGCTTCCCATCAGGGTAGACCCTGGGAGGCAGCAGTGATGGCTCAACTTGTGTGGTCCCTGCCAGCCATGTGGAAGTCCCAGATGGACTGTCCAACTTCCAGCTTCAGCTCCGGCCCAGCCCTGGGCACTGTAGGCATTTGGGAAGCGAATCAGTGGATAGGAGTGCTCTCTCTCTCTCTCTTTCTCTCAAACAATTTTTTTAAAAAAGATAAAACTAGCTAGACGTCAGAGGCAAGGTTGCTTAGATGAGCAATATGACAACAAGGGACAACTGAGGTGTCGGGAGATGCTTCCAGTTTTGTCACAAAGAAATGAGGAGGTGATGATGTGGAGGAAAAGACATCAGAGATGAGATGTCACGCCTGGGGCTGCAGTGGGACACGTGAGCGCATCTGTTCAGAAGCTTCCTAGCTCACTGGTTCTCAGACTGGAGTGTGCACGAGTTCCCAGGAGGTGCTGCTTAAAGAACACTGCTGGAAAGCCGGCGCCACGGCTCAATAGGCTAATCCTCCGCCTTGCGGCGCCGGCACACCAGGTTCTAGTCCCGGTCGGGGCGCCGGATTCTGTCCCAGTTGCCCCTCTTCCAGGCCAGCTCTCTGCTATGTCCCGGGAGTGCAGTGGAGGATGGCCCAAGTCCTTGAGCCCTGTACCCCATGGGAGACCAGAAAAAGTACCTGGCTCCTGCCATCGGATCAGCGTGGTGCCCTGGCTGTAGCGCACCGGCTGCGGCGGCCATTGGAGGGTAAACCAACAGCAAAAGGAAGACCTTTCTCTCTGTCTCTCTCTCACTGTCCACTCTGCCTGTCCAACAAAAAAAAAGTACACTGCTGGATCCCAGGCCCAAAGCTCCTGACTTCACAGGTCTGGGTGGGGCCCGAGAATTTGCATTTCTAGCAAGTTCCCCAAGCTGCTGGTCTGGGGACCTCATTTGGCTAACAGTTACGATTGAAGGCAAACAACTCCAGGGCTCAGGGAAGAGGCAGGGAGTCCCCAGGCTGGATGCCAGCAAAAAGCCGGGGAGGAAGCTGGTGTCTGGTCTGGCGATGGTCAGGCCAGTGCTAACAGGGATTAACAGGCCAGGTTTCTGCATGGTCAGACACATAGCCATTCTCCTCCTTCCATCCAGCCATGAGGAAGATTCCACAGTTTGTCGCAAAAGCAGAAGCAGAGACCTGGTAATGTCCAATTAGTGATGGGATATTGGTTCTTCTTCTTCTTTTTTTTTTTTTTTTTTTTTTTGACATGCAGAGTGGACAGTGAGAGAGAGAGACAGAGAGAAAGGTCTTCCTGCCGTTGGTTCACCCTCCAATGGCCGCTGCGGCCAGCGCGCTGCAGCTGATCCGATGGCAGGAGCCAGGTGCTTCTCCTGGTCTCCCATGCGGGTGCAGGGCCCAAGCACTTGGGCCATCCTCCACTGCACTCCCGGGCCACAGCAGAGAGCTGGTGGGACAGAATCCGGTGCCCCGACCGGGACTAGAACCTGGTATGCCGGCGCCGCAGGCGGAGGATTAGCCTAGTGAGCCGCGGCGCTGGCTAGGGATATTGGTTCTTCCAGTCTGGTCCTGTGAGCAGCAGCGACTCAAGATGCTATCTTTGAGTGTAAATAATCATTATTTATGAAATACAAGATTCTTCTTACTAATTAAGCAATCCAGGGCACAGGTTATTTAACCTCCGCCTCGATTTATCGTTGGTTGGTTAGCAATAATCATTTGACCATGCTTTTAAACTCAAGGCCCTATTTGAATTTCAACATGCTCACTGAGTTGGGCATTTTTGGTGCTTCCCTCTTCAAGCGTTCAGAATTGTCTACTCCCTGTGTGCTCACCAACCAATTTGTCTCATATTGTTCTTTTCACCTGGAAAATCATCAGGATCACATCTGTAGAGCCAAAACTTTCTCTTCTTCCAAATGCTGTTAAAGGGAATCCCTGGCGTGGCGACAACGATGGAACCTTTAAGAGGCGGGACCTACGGAAGGCAATGAGGTCACCACGGCCCCGCCCTCATGAACGCAGTCACCGGAGGCCAGACAGAGGGATGGGTCCACTGCATGGTGGACTTGCAGCCTCCAAAACTGTGATATAAACCAATATCTTTTCTTTACACATTCCTCAGCATCCAGTGTCGTATTACAGCAATACAAAATGAACTAAGAGGGGCCGGCGCTGTGGCACAGCGGGTAAAGCCACCACCTGCAGTGCTGGCATCCCATATGGGCACCTGTTGGAGTCCCGGCTGCTCCACTTCCTATCCAGCTCTCTGCTAATGGCCTGAGAAAGCAGTAGAAGATGGGCCAAGTGCTTGGGCCCCTGCACCTGCATGGGAGACCTGGAAGAAGCTCCTGGCTCCTGGCTTCGGATCGGTGCAGCTCTGGCCGTTGCAGCCATCTGGAGAGTGAACCAGCAGATGGAAGACCTCTCTCTCTCTCTCTCTCTCTCTCTCTGCCTCTCGTCTCTCTCTGTGTAACTCTCACTTTCAAATAAATAAATAAATCTTAAAAAAAAAAAAAATGAACTAAGACAACTATCTTACCTCTTAACCAAGGATTATTTGAGCTCTATCTATGCATACCATTTTTACCAGGAATTTTATGATGATGGTGACGATGACAGTGAAGACCATGAGAGCAGCAACAGTGGATAGCGCAGACAGCAGTCAAGTTTCTCACTACTGCCTGGTTTTATCCCAGTCAACAGTCTCACCTTCTTCTTCAACCAGTCCATCTCCATTAGTTTTTCTAGTGGCTCCAGAAAAAAACAGGTAAATACACCCTCCCTCCCTCCCACCCCGATTCTACTCCCTTCTACTCCTCTAGCTTGCAGCTCACAACCTACCAGCCAGCAGTGAATTCCACGTGGGCATCAAAGAAGCCGGTGACTTGGCCAGTGGCCACCTTCCAGCCCTCGATGCGGGCTCGGATCAGGCCCTCTCTCTTCTGGTTACGCACCACCTTCACCAGCCCGGGGTAGCGTTTGTGGACGTACTCTTCCAAGGGGGCTTTCAGCTCCTCTACAAGCAAAGACACAATGCAAGAAGGTCTGTACACATTCATTTCCAATGTGCACCCCGTGATGTCTACAGATCTCCTGGAAGCTAAGAGATCACAAATACGTTTAGACGTTAGAAATACTGGTAGAGAAGAGAGCTTAGCTGTGCAGGGAGTCAGAAGTCTTCCCCAAGGCAGTCACCCAGGAGAGCGAAGTTCTGACGGTGTACGGTGCACACACTGCACAGACGGCAGATCTGGGTTTTGTATTGCAACTGCTGCAGACCAGCAGGTGTCTTTGAGATTTCCCTTCTTTTTAAGATTGATTTCTTTATTTATTTGAAAGGAAGGCAGTGTTACAGAGAGGAAGAGGTCGGGAGGAGGGAGGGAGAGAAAGGGAGAGAGAGAGAGAGAGAGAGAGAGAGAGAGAGAGAGAGAAATTGATCCATCTTCCATTGCTGTTTCACTCCCAAAATGGCCCAGGGCCCAGCAAGGCTGAAGCCAGGTGCCAGGAGCTTCACCCTGGTCTCCCATATGAGTGGCAGGGGCCCAAGCACTTGGGCCACCTTCCACTGCTTTCCCAGGCTCATTAGCAGGGAGCTGGATCAACAGTGGAGCACCTGGGACTCAAAGTGGTACCCGTATAGGATGCCGGTGTCGCCGACAGCAGCTCTACCCACCAAGCCACAATGCCAGCCCTGATATTTCTTTCCTTTGTGGCTCTTCCTCCTTATGTGGCCAGAATTCCTGTCCCTTTACTGACCCCTGGGGCCTGTTTGCTGACTTCCGTATGGGCTTTTCCATCTTCACATAGACTGGTTCTTACAACATGAGTCTTAAAATGCGAAAGAATTTTTTATCCAGGCATAGAAATGTCACCACGGTGGCAGAAGCAACGGTACCAGGAATTGAACGCTCTCCAACAAGCAGATGTGGTAGCGCTTTGTTTTTATGATGCAATCTAATCCTGAGAGAAAACTAAGGTTGCTAGATTCATCCCACTGATTAACCAGATGAATTCCATTTTGCAAATGAAGGCACAGTTGTAGGAAGGCTCACCCATCCCAAGGACACACATTGGGTAGAGAAGAGACAAAACACAGCTCATTTGCGTCTAATTTCACAAAGGCTAATATCTTTGTCTACTTGAGAGTCATCAGACCTGGGGAGGAAGGAGAAAGGCTAACAGAGAGAGCATTCCCATATATCCTCATTCTTAGTCTCCACGCTCCGAGAGTCTTACTCTGGAGGTCTTTCCTTAAGTCTAGGAACAGTCCAGTGATCCTGATGAAAACAGGTCCAGGTACTTTAATAAGCACTGTCACCTGGGGCTTTGGTGTAGCGAAAGCTAAAAATGCTGTATTCACAGATATCGTGCAGATCCCTTACTTTCTGGGCATACATGGAGTTTTCACCAAATGAACACTGTATCTGTGCAGTATAAGCAGGGGCTAATTTTTATGTGTGTGTGCTGTCCCTAGAAAGTCGCAGCCATGTGACCTGGAGAATGCAGAGGGAATTGGGGTATGCAGATTGCTGGGGTTCCCAAGGGTAGAGAGATGTGAAATGGTGACTGTCAATCAAAGGTAAGGATGATGGGGCAATGGGAGTGTTACCCACTGAACCGTGTCCCTCCAAAACTCATCCATTGAAGCCCTACGCATAAGGACTTCAGCATGCGCTTGTACTTGGAGAAAGAAATGACTGAGGGAGTGAGTATTTGGTCTAGTGGTTCAGATACCAGTTGGGCTACACTTGTCCCACACTGGAGTGCCTGGGTTCAGTACCCAGCTCTGGCTCCTGAGTCTAGCTTCCTGCTAAAGCAGACCCTGGGAGGCAGCAGTGATGACTCAAGTGCTTGGATCCCTGCCATCCATGTGGGAGACCTGGGTCAAGTTCTCCACACCTCGCTTTACCCAGATTCAGCCAATGTGGGCATTTGGGGAATGAACCAGTGGACAGGATCACGCTCTCTCTCCCCTTTTAAACAAATATATTTTTAATTATTTAAAAAAAGAGAGTGAGGCTTCATTTTATTACTTGAGAGTTCAAATAAGGCTGTTGAGTGGCTCCCGATTCACTTTTGACCAGTGGCCTTGAAGAAGGGGACATCTGGACACACACAGACACACCAGGGCCATGCGTGCACAGAGCAAAGAGGACCATGTGAAGAGGCAGCAAGAGGTTAACCTTCTGCAGGCCAAGGAGAGAGGCCGTGGAGGGAACTCACCCTGCCACTCCTCCTTGGCCATGAACTTCTAGTCTCTAAAGGTTGTGAGAAAATCCAGTCTGTGGTTGTATTTTATGATAGAAGCCGAGAAGACAGGGAGGTTGGGAGCGAGACAGGGAGACTGAGGGAAAGATACTCCCGGGCTCAAGGAGGAAGATGGAGCCTGGGGTGGGAGGGAGAGGACCTCAAACGCCCACGAGGGACAGCAGAGGCTGGGTGTTAAGACTGCAGGGACGCTGCCTCGTGTTCAAACCCTGGTGCGTCCACTGGTTTCCTTGGCAACCCTGGGAAAGTCCCGAAACCTAACTGCACTTCCGTTTCCCCACCTGCAGAGGGCCATGATAATAAAGTATTGTACTCATAGGACTACCGTGAGGATTAAACGACTCAGTATAGACAGAAAGCCTGGAATTACCCCCCGGCATGGGGCGAATGCTTAGCACTGAGTAGCCAGTGTGAGTAACGACTGTATTTTTCCCTCATTCCTTCCACAGAGGTGGATATTTCTAGAAGAACCTGAGCGAAGATTTCAGAGCGGTTTAGGGAACCTGAGGAAGCCGTGCCCGAGGTGGTGAAAACCAGGCCTCTATGCTTCTCAAATCTGCAACTCCATCAGTGTCAACTGGAAGTGTGCAAACAGACAACTGGGCCCCTTCCCCCACTGCCCCACTCCTAGCAGGTCTAGGGTAGCAACTCAATGTTCACATTTCTTTTTTTTTTTAATTTATTTTATTTGAAAGTCAGAGTTATACAGAGAGAGAAGGAGAAGCAAAGAGAGAGAGAGAGAGAGAAGGAGAGGCAGAGAGAGAGAGAGAGGTCTTTCATCTGCTGGTTCACTCCCCAATTGGCTGCAATGGCTGGAGCTGCACCCATCCAAAGCCAGGAGCTTCTTCTGGGTCTCCCATGCAGATGCAGGGGCCCAAGGACTTGAGCCATCTTCTACTGCTTTCCCAGGCCATAGCAGAGAGCTGGATGGGAAGTAGAGCAGCCAGGTCTCGAACCGGCGCCCAGATGGGATGCCGACACTGCAGGCGGCGGCTTTACCCGCTACGCCAACGCACAGGCCCCATGATTTGAGTCTTGAGGGACTGAACGAGCGGCTGTGAGAGGGGGCAGATGTAAAGCAAGGGTGCCCTTTAAGTTCCGGCCCCTGCAGACATATACACTCACTACTCTCAGGTACAGTCCCACCCACCGCGTTACGGTGGGGCTCTCCCCAGATGCACCTGCTTCCTTTTGAAGCTGTCTTCCTCCAACACTGGGAGCTAAGTAAATCTCCTCTTTTATAACTTTCCCTTGCCTCAGGTAGTTTGTTACAGCCACAGAAAATGGACTGAGACAGTTGGGGAGCTCACGCTTGCTTGCTTTTTCATTTATTCCCCAGGAGGGCTGGCTGGGTGGGAGGGGATGAAGGGATGTGTCTTTGAAAGTAATGGACCATGGGATGAGTGGAGTACCCTGGGATGCTGCAACGGGAATTCGGCTCAGTGGCTGGGTTGGTCTGTGTTGTCAAGGTCAAGGAGGTCATTCTGATGCTGATCGCTGAGCACCGTACCCAGGGACTTCCATGCACTGAAGGGGGACCTGGGACCCAGCTGTGGCTCTGCCCAGGAACTGGATGTCAGCTCCTGGCTGTGTCAACCACCCTGTTTAGCTATCCAGTGATTTTCTCATTTGCTAAGTGGCTGGGATGGAAACTTTAGGAGAGAGTAGGGATTTACAACATTGAAAGAAAGTGTGGTCACTGCAACTGCTTTTTCTATAGCTCGAGGCTCCTGAGACATGGATATCAAAGGGCACGGTGAAGTATAAAGGAATAAATGGGCAGCGGCTAATCACTTGTTACTAGCCTTATGGCTGTTTAGAGGAAATGAGAAGCTAAGCAGAGAGCCCTTAATATGCACTCAATAAATGTTATTTCTAATCATTGCTCTATTAAAAACACAGCTCAGTGCTACAACATCCCATGAACAGCGGCTTGTCTTTCTACCTAGTCAATATCATTTTAAAGTCTGAGGACAACAGCCGGCGCTGAGGCGCAGCAGATTAACGCCCTGGCCTGAAGCGCAGGCATCCCATATGGGCACCGGTTCAAGACCCAGCTGCTCCACTTCCCATCCAGCTCTCTGCTGTGGCCTGGGAAAGCAGTGGAAGATGGTCCAAGTCCTTGGGCCCCTGCACCCACGTGGGAGACTGGAAGAAGCTCCTGGCTCCTGGCTTCGGATCGGTGCAGCTCCGGCCATTGCAGCCAATTGGGGAGTGAACCAGCAGATGGAAGACCTCTCTCGCGCGCGCTCTCTCTATCACGCTCTCGCTCTCTCTCAGTAGCTCTTTCAAAAGAAAAAAATAGATCTAAAAGACAAGAACAAAAACAAAACCAATACCTCTATGTGGGAGACAGAATGACAAATGTCACCATTTCAGTCCAGATGACTGGGAAAATGCCATCCATTACAAAAGAGAAAAGAGAAGAAGAAGAGCAGATTGATGAGTTTATCTGGGACAAGTCAGAGTGCCAGCACGGACAGGGGTAGACAGCTGAAGCGAGATAATTGCCCAGAGGGAAGGAGACAGGGCACAGGCGTCAGGACAGAGTGGAGCGAGATGGGGGTGATGGCACGCGAAGGGAAGATTCCAGAAGATGGTTCTAAGAAGGCCTAGGAGCACACTTTGGGGCACAAGTGCACTAAGAAGGCAGGATGAAGAGCCAGGGGACAAGATGGGTTGAAACAGCATCGCTGGCGCACAGTTCTATAACAGGCAGACTGTCCAAGGGGAGCAGCGTGCACACTC